GTATCATGGCTGTATTCTGGATGGGACACTACAAGGACAACTGGCCTTGTGCTTAAGATGCGGCAAGAGGTGTGAGAACTGAGTTCTATCCCCAGCTCCACCACAGACTCATTGCCTGGCCTTAAGCAAGCCACTTAGCACCCAATCCAGCTCCCATTGAAATCAGAGAGGGAGGAGGAACTCACCCTGGCTTCAATGGGTGTGGGAACTGGCTCTCTTTGTGCCCAGGGCCATGTGGTGAGCACTTTGATAAGCTTGTCACTAAACAGCAAACAAAGAGCATGCTGGGAAATGATACCAACATGCGATTTTGGGACATGGTACCTAAGTTTCTGATCCTCCTCCCAAGGGCGCGTGTCGGGATTCATTTGCTAATGCTAGAGCTCCTCGCTCAGCAGGTGCTAAAGACGAGTTACCAATTAATGACAACTGTTAACCGCCCATTATAGATGGCTGTGCAGCGTTATTATGCTCTTTTAAAGAACTAATTGGGAAGTAACGTGATTCCCGTCTACAGCTGATAGGTCAGCTAAGTGTCAAAGCATGTTGGGATCCATCAGGATGAACGCTCCAGAGGAACAAGAGATTGGTGTAATTATATTTTGCTAGGTATGCAGAGCCATGCAGGGCCGCCCACAGGGTGGGGGGGGCAACTGGGGCAATTTGCCCCGGGCCCCGCAGGGGCCCCCACGAGAGTTTTTCATGGCCCCTGGAGCAGGGTCCTTCACTTGCTCCAGAGGCCCTGGAAAACTCTTGTGGGACCCGGGCTCCTGGAGCTTCTTCGGCTCCGGGTCTTCGGCAGCAATTCAGCGGCAGGGGGTCCTTCTGCCCCGGGACCCACCGCCGAAGTGCCGGGTCTTTGGCGGCAATTCGGCAGCGGGAGCCCCCTGCCGCTGAAGACCACAGGCCCCCTGAATCCTCTGGGCGGCCCTGGAGCCATGCTCAGCAAGTAACCGGTGTCTCAAGCTAGGGACTATTTAACTCCTAGAATGCATTTTGAAAGTAGCACCTATTTAGCTCTTCACTTGTTCAAAAGTTAATAAATGACACCCCTGTAAGGTTGATACAATCCCCGTGGCATATCTGGGCAAACTGTGGCAGAGAAGCTAAGCAACCCGCCCATGGTCACACAATGAGTCAAAGGCAAAACAGAAGTGACAACTTGGGAGTTCCCGGATCCCTATTTCCCTAGATTCCATTACCATGATCAGGTCACTAGCTCACTAAACCCAGTGAAATATTTAAAAAACAAAACCCCAAACCACCCAAAGGGATCTATTTCTACATAGAGTGACAAAGAGGTGTTTCAGGAACCCATTTCTTCTGTAGCAAATACAACCCTCTGTTTGTCCCATGCTTAGTAAATAGCTTTGGGAAAGCAACACCGAAACGAAACTTTGGCAAAAAGCCTTTTCACAAGAAGAGCGATCTGGACCTGGAGCACTTGGGTGCCCAGCTTTTCACCTTCCCAGCAGAAGGAGAGGTCGATCCGTGAGTAGCATTTTTACCGTATCGTTCCTAGGTGTCCCTGACATACGGTGCCAATGGCGGCTGGTATCACACCTGTGGGGGAACCCTCATTGCACCCAACTGGGTCCTGACAGCTGCTCACTGCATCAGGTACGTTAGCTGCAGAATCCTGGAGAATCATTTCTTTGAAATCAACTAGCAGAAAGCTGCAAATGCTCTGAAGTAAAGAGAAAGCAAAAGCCTATTAATAACAAAAGGGACAGAGGCCAGTGCAGGAGCCACCTCCCCAATAGTTAAGTGATGTCTTCAGCCTCCACTATCTCCGAAACTTTCAGACACGTTCCCCTGAGATGCTGACCACTTGTGGCTGTTAAAAAGTCCACAGCAGTTTTTGTAAGAGTACGGGTGAATTAACCCCAGTGCCCTAGCCAAATTCCAGCTATTGCAACTGAATTCAATTCAACGGTTGCATGGCCCAGCTGTGCACTGCTTAACAGCTGCCTTGCTCCACTCAACAGTGTCTCCCCCACCAAAAAGGTTAGCACGTCTCGATCGTGTCTCTGGCAGTGGCCCCGACCTGATGATTCACTGGAAGGGGAAAACTTCATTCCTCTTCCCCTGCTTGTGCCATGCCCTGCACTGTTGGCCTTATTTTTGCATGTATAACAATAAATATTAGTTATTAAATTATCCAGCCCTTTTTAAAATCAGCTGGGCTCTCTTTACAAGCACATGTAGCAGTGAGTTCCATAGGTTCACTAGCTCACCCACTTCCATGAAGAACTATTCCCTTTGGGTTTAAAAGCACCAGCCTTCAATTTCAGTGAGAGAGCTTCTTGTTCTCAGATTATGAGATGGTGTAAAAATGAGGGGAGTGATCAGCTTTGACTTCATCACCTTAAATGCCTCACTCAAGGCCAGCTCCCCTACCCAGCAGCTCAGTACAGGCCTGTTTCCTGGGGCTGGCTACGACCACTCCAGTTAGAGAAAGCATCATCGGAGCAGATTTGAGCTCTCACAGGCTGGCTGTGTGTGAGGTAGGATTGCCAGGGTGCACAATAGTATTACACACATCTATATACCAGATGCTTTTGTAATAGACGTTGTCATACAACCAGAGAGGCCTTCGGAATTGCTCAGGTGTGCCAGGAAATGGCAGCCTCATGCTCTGAAGATCAGGTGGGGCCCAAGTTTAGCAGGAATCTTGGCAGGAGGCAGAGGACCATGTGGAGGTGCAGCCTCTAGTGACGATAGGTTCCAGCATGCAATGCTCCATCCTAAGCCAACCGCTGTTACTATAGAGCAATGCATGCTGGCACTTGCAGTTTTCAGAGGGTTCCCACTGGACACCCCAGGCTGCATTTGGCCGCCCTTCCCAAAGAGGCGTGTGACTGCGCAGGAAGCAGGGAGCTACATATCTGAGCAACTCTCCCGATTCCTTTTCCTCCCCAGCTCTTCTCTGACCTATCTAGTGTTTCTTGGCAAACACAACCTAAGGCTTGCTGAGGATGGATCGATTGCAGTCAGTCCACAAAAGATCATTGTCCATGAGGGCTGGGACCCAAACCGTCTTGCAGATGGGTAAGTTGATAGCAGCTATTTGTATGAACTATGAGAGATAGGGCCCCAAACCAAACACCCCTGCACCATGGGCAGCTCCAAATCTGGAGCCAGTTCTTACAGCATAGGCCGGAGGTCCACAAACTATGAGCGGAGGAACATTCTGGGGGGCACAGTTGGGGCCCATGAGGGGTGGGGAGGGACTGCCACCCAGTGCCACTCCTGGCCCCAGCCCCAGCCCCACACCCATTATGGCCCCCAGCCTTGGCCCCCTTACCCCTGTCCACATCCCCCCCACCCAGAGCTGTGTCCCTGACTCCACCCTGGGGGAGAGAGGGCGCGGATTGGAGTAAGGGTGGGTGCGAGGTAAAAAGTTTGTGAACCACCGGCAAAGGTTCATACTGATGATTCCAAAATACTGGGCGACTGGATGTGGGGAGTGGTGAACCCTTTCCCCAGTTCAAACCCTTGTCACAGTATGGAAAATGGGCGTGGCTGGCTCAGCGAGCAGATACCCATCACCCCCAAAGAGACAGATGCTAATGCAGGAGCCACCTGCCCAATAATGAAGTGATGCCTTCAGCCTCCACTATCTCAGAAACTTTCCAGGCACATTCACCTGAGATGCTGACCACTTGTGGCTGTTAAAGAGTCCACGGCAGTTTTTGTAAGAGTACAAGTGAATTAACCCCGTGTCCTAGCCAAATTCCAGCTATTGCAACTGAATTCAATTCAGTGGCTCTAAACTGCTGCGTAGCACAGCTGTGTATTGCTTAACAGCTGCCTTGCTCGACCCAACAATGTCTCCTGCATCTTAGCAGTGGGTGAAGAGAGCTCTCACCAGACAGGTGTGTGGAAAGGTTCAATGAATGTATGTCAAGTTCTTTGAAATCCTCAGATGAAAGGTGCTACTAGAAGTGCAAATTATTACACCTCTACCCCGATATAACGCGACCCGATATAACACGAATTAGGATATAATGCGGTAAAGCAGTGCTCCAGGGAGGCGGGGCTGCGCACTCTGGCGGATCAAAGCAAGTTCAATATAACGCGGTTTCACCTATAACGTGGTAAGATTTTTTTGGTTCCCGAGGACAGCGTTATATCGGAGTAGAGGGGTATTAGTAACTTGGATTGATGCCATGTTGCTGAAGGACTCCTTGGTTCTGCTAAAGTCCTAGTGCATTAGCTCCGCTAATCAGTTCAGTTTCCAACTTTCTGCGGGTTGCGTCCCCTCCAGCTTCCCAAGGCAGTAGTACAAGAACTAGGACATAAGAATGGCCATACTGCATCAGACCAATGGTCTATCTAGTCCAGTATCTTGTCGTCAGACAGTGGCCAATGCCAGATGCCTCTGAGGGAATGAACCGAACAGGTCATTCATTGAGTGACAGTCAGAGGCTTCGGGACACTGAGAGCACAGGGCTGCCTCCTGGCCATCTTGGCTAATAGCTATCGATGGACCTGTCCTCCAGGAACTTATCTAGTTGTTTTTTTAACACCATTAGTTTTGACCTTCACAACACCTGATTTTGTGTTGTGTGAAGAAGTACTTCCTTATGTTTGTTTTAAACCTGCTGCCTATCAATTACCCCTAGTTCTTGTGTTCTGAGAAGGAGTAAATAACACTTCCTTATTCACTGTTTCCACACCAGTCATGATTTCATAAACCTCTATCATATCCCCTCTTAGTCATCTCTTTTCCAAGCTGAAAAGTCCCAGTCTTTTTAATCTCTCCTCATACAGAAGCTGTTCCAGACCCCTAATCATTTTGTTGCTCTTCCCTGTGCCTTTTCAAATGCTAATATATCTGTTTTGAGATGGGGTGACCAGAACCGCACGCAGAATTCAAGTGTGGGTGTACGATGGATTAATAGAATGGCCTTGTGATATTATGATCACTGCCCAGGGTTGAGCCCCCTCCATTAGGGCCTTAACTCCAAGGAGCTGAGAAACCTGCTACCTTGTGTTATCTACCAAATGTAGGGCTGAACCCCATTAAACAGAGCTAGACTGTGTCCAACTGCAGCCAACACTTTTAGATTCCACTTGTTTATTACACCTCAGTCTAGCAGTTACCGGGCACAATATAATGATGTTTACTGAGGCTCAGAAAGGCTTGAAAAATTACGTAAATGCTGCCCCGTTTGGAGAGGAAAGGCACAGCACACTGCCCTACTGTGAGGGAAGGTTTTCGGCAAACCCCGAGTGGTAAAAAGGAAAACAAATAGCGATTATGGAATCATTGATGCTCACACACAACAGATGTTTGGATGCTTGGATGCTTTGTATGTTTGGATGCTGACTCAGCAATAAACTGAAACATAAAGACCTCACAGGCCTCAGTTACTTCACACAAGGAAATTTCTGGTGCTTCAACAGGGCCAGGGGGCATTACGGCATGAGTTTGAGGTGGAATATGGGCAGCACTGACTATAGGAGGAGGGGGTATGCCTCTTGAACGCAAAGGTCTTACTCCCTCAGCCCCGACAGACCACCTGCCCCAGCCTGAGGAGGAAGCCTCTGGCTGAAAGGCCATTTCCTGGGAGTCTCTGAGTAGAAGGATGAGTCGGTAACAGCATGGGCAGCTCTCTAGGGAGACGCCCGCCCACCACAGGGAGTTGAATGGAAACGAGTGCTTTAAATCAGGGAACCTGGACGAGCCTGAAGTTCCAGGAGCCTCTCCGCGTATTCTCCAGAAGCTCTCACAGTCACAGGCCGTGTTTACCCCAAAGCTTGACAGAGACAGGCCAAGCCTCTCAAACTGGGCCCCGTGTGGGCAGAGGAGCTGGAGATGCTGGGGCCTGGATTTCCACACGGCTTTTGGGCCATGGGGAAGGAAAATCAAGGTGCTCCACCAGGGCCTATGGGCACTGAGGCACGCGTTTGGGTTTGGTATGGGCAACACCAAGGGGTGGGATGCCTCTGCCATGGCCTGAAGACATTCCTTCCCCTAAAGGCAAAGGCCCCTCTTTCGAATAGACGGAGCCCTCTGTAAACGCTGCGTATTAATGGGTCTGTGTTTTCCTCCACTCTCTCTCTCTGTGCGCGCTCCCTCCCCCCTGGCTTGTGCACAGCAACGACATTGCTTTGATCAAACTCTCCCAGAGCGTTGCCCTGAGCAGTCAAATCCAGCCGGCCTGCCTCCCTCCAGCAAACAGTCTCCTGGCCTCTGGCGTCGTCTGCTACGTAACAGGATGGGGAAGGCTGCAGAGTAAGTGTTAATGCAGTTCAGTGGGAACACTAAGTCCGTCTGTGTTAACGTCTCCTTTGGGATTGACTGGAATAAGGTTCTTTTTTCCGGTGCCCCTTAGCCCTCAATTCAGAGAGAGATCTGACCAGGCTCTGGCTCCACCCCTGCAGCAGAGATGTTCTTGCATTTTCCTTGCTGAACGTTTAGCTTTTGTTAGGACCCCAGCTGAGGCCTGGAGATGCAATTGTCACCCGAGTCAGAGTGGTCTGAAGACTGGTGGGGCTGTTAGTGCTCGTGGAAGAGTTGAAAAGGCGCTTTAAAGAAGTGACGGTTAGTGATGGACAGCCAGCCTGGAACAGGGAAGTCCCCATGCAGAGAGCGGGTACAATGCAGGCAACAACAGCCTTGTGCTTCAATCCTGAGCAGGATGCATCACCTAGAGAGGTTAGAGCAGAGGACAGGGATCCTGGCCTATCCCTTCCTTGGCCTGGTTGCCGACGCTAACGCCAGTAGGGTGTTGATATGTGAACGTTAAAGCTGATTTCCCATGCGATATTGACAGAGAGCCGTTGTTAAAATGGACGAGGATTATCCATCTAGTTCAGACAGTTTTCTGAGGGAGGGCTGCATTAAGGACTGGATTCTGCAACCCCTCTGTGCTTGGATTCCCTGTTGACTCTTGTACCTGGACATGTTATTTGTTGTTTCTTGACTGCCAGGAGCTAATGCTACTCCCTTGTTTCTGTTCCCTCCCAGCAAACGGCGCTCTCCCAGATATACTGCAGCAAGGGCCCTTGGTCGTGGTGGATTACGCCACCTGTTCCCGGCCTAGCTGGTGGGGCAGCATAGTGAAAACCACCATGATCTGTGGAGGCGGCGACGGGCTGATCTCCAGCTGCAATGTGAGTCTGGAGAATTGGGCAGTTATGGGCGTGGCTTTAGAGAGTTCTGCATTATGGGAAGGGACTCTGAAGATGGTGCAGGGTACTAGGATCTACCCATTCTAGATGGGCTTTGAAACCCCTTTGTAGAGGTTGATAGCAATTAATGTGTTTAAGGACAATTTAATAATCACATTTCTATACTCTCACCTACAAGAGGGACCCACCCCAAACACCTGGATCCAAATACCCCCTGCATGTTGGACCTGAACATGGCAGCTGAGAACCATCTCATAAGACAGAACCTATATTCATTTCCTTCACACTCCTGCCTTTCTCCCATGTCCCATCTCCAATTATACGAGACCCATGGCAGTGACTCCTCTTCTCATGCACCATAGAAAGACGTGGATATTTCCAAACTGGCGTTCAATGACTGTGCCTCTCCTTCCTTGCAGGGGGACTCCGGTGGCCCACTGAACTGCAAAGGTGCTGACGGCAGGTGGGAAGTGCATGGCGTAGTCAGCTTTGGCTCCGCACTAAGCTGTAATTACTACCAGAAACCCTCCGTCTTCACTCGGGTCTCTGCTTTCAACAACTGGATCAATACGGTAAGGGTCTACTGCAGGGGTGGGCAAAGTACTGCCCGAATGCCGCATCCGTACCCAGATGTGGCCCTCAGGCTAAAACGTTTGCCCACCCTGGTCTAGTGTCTGCTGTTGAGCAAGAACAAACTGGGCTGTGAACTTCTAAATGGTCATTCAGGGTAAAATAAAACAAAACAAAACACCTGCAAAAGAGTTCAAGACCATTGGTTTGTCTATATGTCTTTAAATTCACACCCAAACTTATTCCATAATAACTTCACCGCATAGACAATCCCTTAACACAACAAAGGAGAATGTTGTCTTGTTTCTAGGGAATTAATTCCTGCAGCGAAGGTGAGGTGTCTTCCTGTTGAATGCAACTATCCAAATGATCTTCATTTCTAACCAAAGTTTGGACGTTTTGGAATAAATCTGTCACATTTTATATTAAGGGTATATTTATAGAGTTTTCATAAATGTTAATTGATGTCCAACAACTTAATTATCTATCATCTATTACTGTGGCGATCAGTAACACATACTGCTCATGGCTATAACGTTCTTATCAAATATTTAACGGAACAATTTGTAGAGTTCGAATGTCCCTGTTTTACAGATTTCCTTAGTTTTGTGGTCTGATTTCCCCCCCCCCTTTGCTTTACACTTTCTGCAGGTTATGGCAAACAACTAACCTGAAGAGCCGTGGACAACAGACTAACCCTGTGCTGGGGGAAGGGAAGCTATTTTGCTGATTGAAATAGTCGTAATCACAAAATTCCAAACTGATGATGTGCTGAAGAAATCTGTATATAATAAATAACCAACATTTGTTTGCAACATGCGTGTATAGCCTGTGCCTCGGGGAAAGGAAGGGTTTAAGATGGAAGAACATGACAATGGTTGCAGGAAGTTATGCAGTGGAGCATTTTCTTCCATTAGATAAAACCCAATGTGAATGGAAGTGGAATATGAAGCACAACACAAGAATGAGGACTTGGGGAGGGGGGAGGAAGGGGGGGAACTCACCCAGTGCCATTTGTTTCCACAGTGGTTGACACGAGAAATGTGTGTTGTCACCCTAGTGTCCCCACACTCCCTTCTAACCCCACATTCCCATACTAGGCTCCAGCTGCCAACTCTCCCTTTGCCTCACATCTGAGCATGGGGGAATTATAAGAACTATAAATCCCAAGAACCTGGCAATGCTCTTGATGGGAACTCAAAATACGCAATGCACAGCTCCTGGCAGTTCTCCATTCAGTGATTTGATACCGTTACTCATTGTGCCCAGCTGTTGGAAGTGATCCTGGAGTGGCTGCTGGCTGAAGAACATGCTGTAGAGCAGGGAACCACCGGAAAGCCACTTTGAAATATCAGGAAGGCTTTTAAAAACTGAGGATAATTTCTGATGATACCTTTTAACCTTTTTAAGGGGAATGGAGCCCATGGTGCTTATCTCTTTCCAGCAGCCCATAAATCTCATACCAACAGGAGTTACATGCACATCTGCAGAGGGGAAAGACAAGCCAGTGTTCATTTTTCTACCACCATAAAATTTAACCCACTTGGAAAGTTAGTAAAAGGCCATAAATTTACCCTCTCTGTCTTGAGCTTTCAAAGCCAGGAACTACCCAATAGAAACAGCCTGGAAGGACTGAAGGCCACCTCCATCCCCATTGCCTTTAGTCAAATAACCCTAAAAAGCAGCTCTGATGCTCCAGAACAGAGCAAAACTTATTCCAGACAATTGGTCAATTTAGTCCTGCACACGTGAGCAAGAATCAGGATGAGCTCTGGCCTGGGGAATGTTCTTACTCAAAGCTAGCTGGATGAAAGGTGCCCTATTTCTAAGCAGGGTCTGAATGAATGCTCCCCTGGCACCTAGCTTGGAGAGGGAGAGGCTTTGTGTGTGTTTATGTACATAGAGTTTGCTCCTGCTCTGCTTAGATATTCAGCAGATAGAGTGGTGTCAAAGTGATCAACTTTGGCTGGTGTTGGGTTACAAAACACCTTAGTACTGAATGCAGGGGTAGTGAAATATAGTTACCAATGTTGTAATAATTGTAGGAATACAGGGAAGCAGGACTGTGCTTAACCGGTCCCAAATGAGGGGTCACATTCAGTTGAAAGAACCTCACTAAGCCAGGGGCTTGAATGCCAGAGCCCTGTGGAAGTAAGAGGGGATGGGGACAGATATCTCAGGATGCTGCAAACTCTTTCTAGGGGTTCTTCACTAGAGTGGTTTAGCATGTTTCTCCCGACTGTTCAAATACTAGAACTAAATAGGCTTCATTCAGAACTTCTTTGTTATTTTAAATACTCAATCAGTATTTAAAATCAGTTGTGGTGGGTGTGATGGGTTCAGTCACAGAGATCCCTTTGGGCCTGTCCCCTGACATGCTGAAATTACCTCTGAGCCCATTTTCCCTGCCAGTTTAAGACTCCAGAATCCTCCCTTGTTGAGCTAGACACACTAACCTGCTGCAACACAGACGGAGGGTCTGGGCCATGCCGGCAAAGCTGCAGACTTTAACGAAAAACAGCTCAGCAGGTTACCTCTCCAGCACCCAGACACCCAGTTCTTCCTAGTCTGGGCCCAATCCTTTTCAGACCAATGATGTAGTTTATGGCCTGGGTCCAGCAATCACTCACACCCCCATAGTTACTGTCCTTTGTTCCAGTTTCTTTCAGGCATCTCTTTGGGGGTGGAGATGCCATCTCTTGAGCCAGCTGAAGACACAATGGAGAGGCTTCCAGGGCCTTTTATATTCTCTCTCTTGTGGGCGGAAACCCCTTTGTTCTTCTGTGAAAAATCACAGCAACAAGATGGAGTTTGTAGCTACCTGGACAAATCACATGTCCATGAATGATTCAGCTTTTTGCAGGCCAATGCTATTGTTTACATGTTAGTTTGAATGTTCCAAGGAAAGCTCAAATGTGGATTGGTGTCTCCCATTGTTAGTTAAGTGTTTCTTGATTGGGCACTTACTCAGAATAGTCCTTTCTCAAGAAGCTGACCAAATGCTTCACTGAGGCTACTTAGACTCAAACACATTGAGATACAAGTACATTGCCAATATTCATAACTTCAAATACAAAATGATACACACATGCAAACAGTATAATCATAACTAGCAAATTACAACCTTTCCATAGACGCCTTACTTGACCTTCTTTGTACAAGATTTGGTGCAACTATAGGACCTTGATTGTAACAATGATCTATACTGTCAAAGTTCATGTCAATAACTTCACAGCTCTGTTTACTTGCAAACCTTCCTGTGTACATGTGGGCCAGCCCAGGAAGAATGGAGGCTGGGGTCTCACAGGACATGTGACCATGTCACATGATACTAGAATCCATTTTAAATCTGGTACTTTTCCATTTAGAAGGGGGGGTGGGGCCCCAGAGAGACAAAAGAGTCCTACCTTGTGCCAAAGTTATAAAAGGGGGTGGAGCAGGACAAAGAGGCTGCCAATCATGAGAAAGCCCCTTCTTACTACCTGATATGTCTGCTGGAACTAACAAGGACTGTACCAGGGGACATGATTGGGCCTAGACTAGGAAGGAGTCTGGTCTGTGAAAGATGCTTAGTGGAACATTTCTGAGGGTGAGATATTACCTGTAATCAGTTTCTTAATGTATTAGGCTTAGACTTGCATGTTTTTGCTTTATTTTGCTAAGTGACTTACTTTGTTCTGGCTATTACTTGAAACCACTTAAATCCTACTTTGTATACTTAATGAAATCACTTTTGTTTATTAATGAACCCATAGTAAGTGATTAATACTTGGGGGAGCAAACAGCTGTGCGTATCTCTCTATCAGTGTTATACAGGGCGTTCAATTTATGAGTTTACCTTGTATAAGCTTTATACAGAGTAAAAACGGATTTATTTGGGGTTTGGATCCCATTGGGAGCTGGGTGTGTGGGTGCTAGAGACAAGCAGATTAGTGTATCTGGCTCAACAAGACAGGGTTCTGGAGGCCCAAACTGGCAGAGAAAATGGGCTAATAGGTAGTCTCAGCACATCAGGTGACAGTCCCAAGGGGGTCTCTGTGACTGAACCCATCACAAGAGCCATTTACAATTCATTGATTTTGAAGCACCCTTAATGACTTCCACTAAATATGTTTACATCAGTAACCCAAGTTTATATCTTATTATCCTAACTCCAGACACAGAAATAACACATGCAAACAAATAGGCCGAACACACTCAGTAGATTATAAGCTTTGTAATGATACTTTACAAGAGAACTTTTGTATAAAGCATATTCCAGTTATATCATATTCACATTCATAAGCATATTTTCATAAAGCATATGGAGTGCAACATCACAGTGGGACTGTATTTCTGCCCAGAGCTGACAATCACTGAGAGCTGAAATCACTTGTGGTAGGACGTATTCTGCCGAGAGATGAAAATCACTAAGTGACTGACTGGCAGAGCTCACAGCAGAAAGGGAAGGTGGCAAGAAGTGGAGGGAGCACGGTGGCTTTTACACACACACCCCACTCATGGCAGGAGGAGAAGTCATGCAGCTGCATCAGTGTACTCTGGGGAGGGTGTCTTGCTCGTGCTTTTATGTTTATGAATACCGCTTGCAAGAGGGGAAGTATTGCCTCTTAGAGGTGCCCAGAGAGTAGAGTGAAATTTTCCCGGGTTACTGGGTGTGGGCTCGAGCTGGTTCTGGTTATATTGTTGAAAAGGAACCCCCTAAATATTGAACCCAGCTCTTCTTGCTGCCCACTCCAACTGGCAGAAGGGTTACATTTTTATTTGTTTTCAATTATTAATAATACTAGTTCTTTATGTAAAGTGTGGAAAATTGGAGAATCTATGTACAACATATGAAGTCTGGATGATTTTATGAAATTGCTGTATCACTGAATTCCTCAGTGGGTGTGGGAATCTATGCTATCCGGCCTGGTAGCATGTCTCTCCCAATCCAGGGACAATGGCGAGTCATTAACATGAATTGCTCCCATTCATATTGGAGCACCTTAGGACAATGGGATGGCTGAAGTCTAGGGAAACCAGTTTGACCCAGTGTGTCTGCAGGGAAGAGGTTTGGCGTGAGAACAAAGAGGAGGTGAGGGTAAAGCCCTTTACAAACACAGAGACTGGGCCGGTCAGAGAGATAAAAGGAAGCTTGTGTCACGAGAAAGGAACAACAGAGGTTATTTTCATAGCTGAGAGCACCTTTTCATACTGCTCAATCAGCCATGGTCAAAGTAAGTTTGACAAACTCCGTGCGTTGAAGGAGAAACTATGACTTGTAGGAGGGAGATCCTGGACACCCTAAAGAACTCTGACCTAAGCCCAAAGAATGCTCCAGAGTAGTGAGGACACTGAGGAGGGGAAACATGTGCAGGTGTGATTATTATTATGCCTGGTGTGACATTGCATGCTATATGATTTTATGGAAGTATTCTGAAGAGTGTGAATACAATGTAACTAAAAGATGCTTCTTGCAAAAGGTCTCTTGTAAGGTATCATTACAAAGCTTATAATCTATTGAGTGTGGTCATCCTATTTGTATAAATGTATCACTCTTGTATCGGAAAATGGCAATATGAAATATAACTCTGAGGGCCTATTGTAATTATGCAAAGTGTGAGCCATGAATGGTGGTTTGGAATCTTGATGGCTCCTATCAACCAGGACAATTGACTGTAGATGGCTCTGGTTTACTTGTAAGTCTTCCTGTATACATGTGTGCTGGCAAGTGGGCAATTAAGTCTTACAGTGACATGTGATCATGTCACCTGAACTGGAATCCATCTTTAACCTGGTGCATTTCCATTGAGAAGGAGGGGTGGGAACCCATAGAGGAACAAAGGATTTCCACCTTATGCAGAAGATATATAAGTGGGTGGAACAGAACAAAAGAGGCTACAATCTTGAGAAATCCCCTAGCTACCACCTGAGCTGGAACAAGGACTGTACCAGGGGAAAGGATTGTGCCCAGACTAGGAAGGTGTCCAGTCTGTGATAGAAACTTATTGAAACACCTCTGAGGGTGAGATTTTATCTGTATTCTGTTTTCTTACTGTATTAGGTTTAGAGTTGCATGTTTTATTTTATTTTGCTTGGTAATTCATTTTGTTCTGTCTGCTATTACTTGGAACCACTTAAATCCTACTTTCTGTATTTAATAAAATCACTTTTTACTTATTAATTAACCCAGAGTACGTATTAATACCTGGGGTGGGGGGGGGGACAGCTGTGCATATCTCTCTATCAGTGTTATAGAGGGCAAACACTTTATGAGTTTAGCCTGTATAAGCTTTATACAGGGTAAAACAGATTTATTTGGCGTTTGCACCCCATTGGGAGTTGGGCATCTTAGTGTTAAAGACAGGAACACTTCTCAAGTTGCTTTCAGTTAAGTCTGCAGCTTTGGGGCACGTGGTTCAGACCCTGGGTGTGTGTTGGAGCAGACGGGCGTGTCTGGCTCAGCACGACAGGGTGCTGGAGTCCTGAGCTGGCAGGGAAAGCAGGGGCAGAAGTAGTCTTGGCACATCAGTTGGCAGTTCCCAAGGGGGTTTCTGTGACCCAACCCGTCACACCTGGATCTGTCGATCTTTTGTGCTGCCTGAAGTAAAGAGGAATTGGTTCAGGATCCCCTTTTGCAAAGCCGGTGTGGTGTGTGCGTCAACTGGCAAGTGTAAACCAGCGTGCTCACAAAGGTAGGAGACGTGGGCCAGGGAGCGCTTCAGCAACTGGGGTGTCTTTGTGGAGCCAGCACTGGTCCTGGGGGCATAGGGCAGCTGGCCCATGATGTCCCATTGCCACGATGGGGAAACAGACAGAGAGCCTGTGCCAAGGGACCATGCCAGAGAGGCCAAAAGACAGAGACAGTGCTGGAGTCTACCCAGACCAAGGTAAACCTAAACCTCACACGGCCCAGTGTGGTGGGACCGATAGGCAGCAGCCAGGTGAGTTTCCAGCAGGAAGAGCTTTACCAGGGCTGTGAAAAAGTGATTACATACAGTTTACTTTGGAGCTGAAGGAGAAGGGGGGGGGGAAATTGTCCTTTGGTCTTTATATTTTTGGGGCTGGGGGCTCTAATTATTGCTCCCAAGTGCCCACAGTTCTCCGCATCTCACTCCCTGAAAAAAGGCCACTTAGGCAAGGGGCTAAGAATATTCCAATGCCCGTCCCATCAATTCCAGCGCATCCCACGCCTTTGCCCCTTTGGACACAGGCCCAAATGTCCTTCCTCACCCCTGTCCCCGCCCCCCCCCCCATCTACCCCTCAAACCCAGGCCCTGGAGGCTTTGCCCTGAGCCCGATCCTTCCATTGCAACACCAGAGGCTCCTGGAGGACCTTGTGGACTAGGAGTTCCCCCATGAATTGCTGGAGGGAGATTTACACCCCCAAAATTCAGGTAATTTTCCTTTCCATCCACATGTTTGTGACCAGGACTCAAGGTAGTGGGAGAGCGAACAGCTG